AAGTGTGTCATACTTCCTTTTCCTGTTAAGGTTAAGTAAAATCAGATATAGCTACATTCAAAACACATAACTTACTTTTTTTCTCTTTCTGTTGTTCCTACTCTACTGTACAAGAATTTAGTCCATATTGCAACTTAACTAATCACTTGTTCGCTTTAGCACGATATAGGAGATAGATTCTATTAAACCGAACAATTACGACTTTCCACCAGTTCAGAAGAGGTGACGAACATTGGGAGATCATCTTTTTTGATTGACGTTCAATATTCCGTCGCGAATTGTACTTACGTGATACGAGTCTTAGTTCTAACTGCACGGCAATCTAAGATTAAAACAATAGAAATTGCCACTAACTAAAATCATCCTTTGTTCGATCTTCCAAATCTTATCTAGAAATAAAGAGCATGTTGTTTCTTTGCTACCATTATCGCCTAAAGTGTGTTAAAAAGATTTTCCACTTGGATAGCCTTTGACAGTAAATAAAATAATAATGGCGTCGGCGACAGCTCAAGTTTAAGGTTTAAACGTAAAAGTATTAAAAACTGTTATGATTCCTAGTTTATTGAAAGTCACATTTTTCATCATTTATATTTCTCTTCTGTTGCAAATGAAAAGTAATTGAAAGAACTGTTGGCTTCATCAGTTTTTCTGTTTAGTTTTCTCTTCATTTTAACAAACACTGACGATGTTTGCTCAATGCGTGTGTTTAAAAAGAAATCGGATGGTATTTGCTTTGAATTCAACTAAATATCGTTGGAATGTTCAGTCTTGTTCAACTTTCAGTAGGTTATGCATATCACAAGGACGAAAATGATTTCGAATCAGTTTTCGTGTTAAATACCATAGAATCAAATAAGTTTCACCTCATCTGGATATTTTTCATTTGAAGGGAGCGGACTTGGAGGGAGCAGTGGATGGAATGAGCTTAGCGACAGCTTATTTTTGATCGAAATATCTTCAGTAAGCTTCGCAATAGTCACGTTTTTTGTTTCATAATTGAGCCTCAATTATGAAACCGAAACTTTTCATAGCAAATCGAACGAGTTTTGATTATCGGATTGCCAGAACTTTTTCGAATTGTCTTGAGAGTGTGTTTCCTAATACCAATGCCTAAATATTTTCATTTCTATAAAGCATACACCAGCACCGTCTCTTAATAACCGAAATGGAGAGGACCAATCCTCGAATGAATTGGATCAGAAAAAAAGGTGTAGGTCAGATCAGGTATGGATTGCTTGCTGAATTTCTTGTCGCAGAAAACGAACGCTTTCCGTGGTATATACATGATATTGTGTCGAGTTTTCAACCACATCGAGAAAACTGTTTCAGTTTCCCGACCGAGAGCGAGAGACAAAATGAAAATAATCTGTGTTTTTTCTTTGTACAGCTGCACAAACTCATGAAATGAGAATCAGAACAATTTTTAGCATAAGAAGATTATAATTTACTTTCTTTCTCTAAAGATAATCGGCATCAATTGTTAATACGATCCTTTAAAATCAAGGAAAAATTAAAATGATAAGTAACGATTCTTTAAAAAATAATGAGAAAGGCTTCTCTTATTTACATCAGCTTCTACTAAAAAATATGCCTGATACGAGATAAATTAATCGAAGCAACACATTACGAGTATTACGATGTTAAGTGTTCGATCCATGTGTTATAATACTAAACATTCTCTCGTCAGATTCAGCATAATGTGACCAAGTTCTGTCTAAATCTAGATATTCGTTATTAAAAAATGTTAAAATGAGAATAAATTCATATTGTTGACAATTACGCCAACATGTTTCAAGAACCTTAGCACAAGTTTCAGAGCCATTCATTTCAGTAAATAAATCTTTATCTAAATCGATTTTAAATTTTCAGCAATTTCATATGAAAAACAGGCTGGTCTACCATTTCGTCTAAGTTTAATTGAATTACATTAGAGAAAAATGGTTGTGTATTTTCAATGAGATAATAAGTAATAATGACATTTCCATTAACTCCATAAAGTATAGAGCTCTAGTGTTGCTAATTCGGCGTTGCTATTATATAGTGAACACAAGGCCTGCAATATAGATAGAAAACATCATGATATAGATAGAAAACAGCATCATATAGATAGAAAACAGCATAACTATCATAACAAAGTAATTGCTTCCCGAAAAATTCTCGGTCACCAACTTCTAAGCGTAAACTTTGTTCTCTGAAACAGAATGATTAGAAATTCTGAGCAGACAAACCGTATCATAGAACCGATCTTTCAAAGAAATAAAAGAGTGACCATCTTTAACTAGGTATGCACCAGTTGCAGTTTTTTACCAGTTAACTGTAACTGTGAAAACTGTAACTGTCATAACTGTAACCGCCCATAACTGTAGACAAATATTCTAGAGTGAATTAGTCTTCTACGATTTGCATACATTTTAAGGATGTCTCTGTTCTTAAAATGTCTCCAAATCGTAGAAGACTAATTCACTCTAGAATATTTGTCTACAGTTATGAGCAGTTACAGTTTTGACAGTTACAGTTACGACAGTTACAGTTATAACAGTTACACAGTTATGACAGTTGCAGTTTTACAGTTAACTGTAACTGGTGCATGCCTATCTTTAACATAAACATTCATGTTTGTATCTTTTTTCCATAGTGCTTCGAACTTAAGTCAACACAACTAGCTAACATTTGTAAATTGACATTGATAATCTGTTCAATAATTAAACTTAAATTAAAAAGCGTTATCATTGTTCTTATGTATACGTTAGATGGTAAAACTTCGAATACCATCTTAGTATAGACGAAATAATCTTTTCGTGAGTATTCATACTCGAAATATTTTAGAGTAAAAATTGTACAAATATAATAATAGATCTAATGCATGACCCATGGATTTAATTTGGGTTATTCTGTTCCTTAAGTGTAAAAGTGTTTTGATGGATTTATTTAACGCAAAACCAAACGTTTCGTTCTGAAATTGTTTTTCTAATAAATAATTTTCATCGCAAGGTGCTAGTTTATATAATATTTGTTTAACTAAATAACAATACCCTCTATCTCAAACGAAATTTCTTCATATTTTAATCCAATCTACAATCGTAAAAATTTTAAATTATCAATTAGTTGAATAAAGCCCAAACGATAATTATCAGACCTTTCACTTTGAGTACTAATAATTTCATTTTCACTCTTTAAACTGTTGCTGCTGCTATCTTTGAAAAAAACATGAGGGATAATCAATTTTTTCTTGTTTTTTAGGCAACTTGTTCGTAAATCTTCTCGCATTATTAGTCAAAGATGTCGTTAAATTAGACATAACACCATAAACAGCAGACACATTACTAGCAGATTTAAAGTAAAGTCTCACAAAACTATACTTATATATTAAATGAACTTTTCTTGTGCTATTGAGCAGAAAAATCGAACAGAGACATTCTATGACAAAACTTAGGAAATACCGCCATACCAAAACAGGCTTTTCTCATTTTTGAATATAGTGCATCTCTGTCGCATTGCGCACTTGAATCAACGTAAAATTTGTTCAGATTCATATTCTTAAAGATCGAACATTGTTGCACATCTAGGCTATTTAGTTGTACTCGATACTTCTTGCGTTTTTGCATGAGTTCAAACGCCTTAAAAGCATAATTTTATTCTTTTAATACTTTCAAACGCCTTGAGAATTAAGGCGTTCATTTTTGGTATACTTAATAAAGCATTTGAACGAGTTGAATATGTGAAAACGCATTATAAAATTGAAAAGAAATAAACGCTCCTAAATGCATTAACTTTTGAGACATACGAAGGCGTTAAAATTTTGTTCATGCATTTAGTGTACTCAAACTTATTAAAGGTACCAAACGTCGATTTAACGCATTCAAAGGAAAATTTTCTTACTAAAAGGTCTTTTTTATAGCACGATGTTCCACTTGCTTTATGATCTTTTCACGAGATGATCCTTTCTAAGGGAATTGTTTTATTAAATAGCATTCATCATTAAAAACAGTCTGGTTATTTTTAAACGGATATTCGTTATGTACTTTCTATGACTGTTAGGAAGCGGAAGAAAATGTCAAGTTTGCTGTCCTTCTCATAATAAGTATTTCAATAATATGATCAGGTGTCAAATACATGAAGTCGCCATTTGAAACTCTGCCGATGAATAAATTCGAAATATTTAGAACTTTGTCGTCAACAGGCACACCAGTTTTCGTCGCCACACGCAGAGGTAACATTCGTAAATAAGTTTTGCCGCGTAGTTGAAATATGTCGGTAAGTGTGACTGCGCGAATATCATGACCGTATTTGAATAAAATATACGAATCGGCGATGTTCTGTGTATCTTTGGACGATTTTGTTGTAAACCGAATATCGTTGATATATACGGATGAGAAATAAGAAATAGATACCTCCCCATTTGCATCAAAGGTATTTCTTATTATCGCATCCACTTTTAAATTGGCTTTAATGGCTTTTGAGCAATTGTTTCAATGGTCTGTTAACTAAGGCAAAACAATTACTCGTGTAAAGACGTGTGGTGTCACGTCAGTAATACTCAGTTCAGAAAATACGCATACGAATAAGAGCTAGAAAGGGAAGATGCAGTGTCATTTGGTGGTAACTAACTAAACATGTGTGGTAGTATTTAAAAATAGTAGATAAAATGGAGACTGACTAGCGTACAATTGGAGAATCAGCAAGTTCAATTTCCAATGAAAGAAAAGGTGTCCATGTGTCTCTCACTGTGAATTTGACCAAGTAAGTACACAAACATAGATACGAATCGAACTCGTACCAAAAGAGATAAAAATGAACACGTTTTGTGCAATATCGGTACTTTTGATAAATGTATTGAAATATCGCAGAAATGCTTTCACTACAAACCAGGCACAGACTCAAAGTAAAATATTGCTGAATCAAAGTGTTGATCTGCAAAAGTAGCTGTCTCGGATCTTTGGTTAACAATAATTCGAATAGTGCAATGTTAGATTTCCCGGGTGAACTAAGATCTTTTTCACCTAACGTTTATTTATTATAGTTTCACATTCACCAATTGTTGATACACTTAATAAACTATTTATGTTTTTTTCATCAAATTGTAATTCTTTTAAATGTTGAATAGCTAAATGAAATTGTTTAAAATGTTTATAATAAATCTACCTATTCAATTATACAATCGTTGAAGATCAACATGATAATGAGAATAAATATTTTTACTTATGATTAATGAACGATGAAAATATTCAAGTGCTATTGTATACTTTGTTATTTTTTCATAAATTTTACCTATATGATAATTTAAACTAATAATTTCATCAAAATTTTCAGAATGTAATTCCATAAATATTTCTAATGATTGTTGAAAATGTTTTAATGCAGAGAAAAAATCAATTTTTAAATAATGAATTTGACCAATATTTGAATGAATAATAGCTGGTCGTTTAAAATTATTTTCATTATCAAATAATTTTAATGCAAATTTATACGATTCAAGTGCTAGATCATAATTATCTTGAGCAAAATGTATTTGTGCTAACGACATTAATTTAAATGGTAATATCCATGATCCTTGATATAAATTGGTTTGCATATTAAATTCAGAGACACTATATTTTAAACCTAAATCAAATTCCTGATTACTATTGTAAGCATCCGATTTATACGCTAAAATTCCATAACGTTCATTATCATTTAATGTTGTTTGATTTAATAAATTTTCAAAATATTTAATTGTTTTTGAAAATTGTCCCATTTTTATTAAAACTATATCAAAAGGAAATATTTGGTAATGATAAAAAATGATCCTTTTCTATTTTTTGATGATGTATTTTAAAATGATCAT